TGTTTTGAGTATTTCAACAACTTGTGTTAATATTACTGCTCAAGCTGAATCTAATAGTTCAACAAGTGATAACTCCACAATCGATGGTAATTCAACTCTAGTTGATAATTCCACCACTGATGGTAGTAATGCTACTGTTGGTGATTTCAGTACAATTGGTGAAAACAATTCAACTCTCGATTCTAACTCCACTGTTCAAAACAACAATACAGCTGACAATAATAGCACAGTTGATAATAATAATGGAACAAATGTTGATAATAGTACTGACATTGGTGATAACAATTCCACCAATATTGATGGAAGTAATTCTACTCTAGTTGATCATTCCACAACTAGTAATAATACAACTGATTCAAATAATTCCACTTCAGATAATTCAACAATTGTAAATAATGGTACTATTACAAGTGATAACTCCACCTTTAACAATTCCACTTCTGATAACTCCACAATAGCTAATGATAACTCAACAATTGCTGGAAACTCAACAACTGATAATAACTCTACTGTTGACGGTAACTCAACTATTGGTAATAGTTCAACAACTGATTCTAACAATACATCCAATAGCAATAGTTCAAATATTGATGATTCTCAATTCAATAGCACTACCAATTGCACAACTGAGATTACTCGTGAAGATATCTATGACTGTTATGCTACAGAACACACCACTGAATGTTATACGAATTCAACATTCGATGGATTCTACTATACAAACCATACTGATTGTGTCATCTTCACTCATATTGATTCATTCACTTGTGATAGTGCTAATTGTTCAACTTGTTCCAATGGAGATGCCATGTGTATTTCAGTAACTAATTCAAACTGCAGCAATACTACCTACATTTCAGAGAATGTTACCAGTGTTGTCTGTAATCAAATTACTGTAAATACCTCAACAGTTTGTTCCCTTAATAGAACCATTTTCAATGTTACAAATTGCTATGGCGATAATTCAACATTCATTCTTGTTAATAATACTCTCATTTCACACAATTCCACCAACTCTACAACCAATTCTACCAACAACTATATTGATGAAGAAGAAGAGGATGATTCTCTCTATCTTGAACCCGAAAGAATTTTGGTTGTTCCAGAAAACTATACTGTTATTTTGGATGTCATTCCTCCAAAATTGGACGTTGTTCATGTATTTGGTTGTTTAGTTTTCAGTGATGAGCTTGATTTGGAAATGCACTTTAAATCGATGATTGTTACTGGTTCTCTCCAAATAGGTAATGAAACCAGCCCTCATCAACACAATGCCACAATTACACTTCACGGTGAAAGAAATCTCAATAGAACTTTAATTGGATTTGGTGTTAAGAATATCATTGTAACCAGTGGAGGTGCTTTGAGCTTGCATGGTAAGAAACATGAAGTTTCTTGGACTTTGTTGGGTAAATCAGCTCAAGTTGGTGATACTTCCGTTCATCTTAAACAACCAACTGAATGGCAAGTTGGTGATGAAATTGTTCTAGCTTCCACTGATTACTATCACAATCAAGCTGAAAGAAGAACAATTTCAGTCCGTTTCAATAGTACATGTTTTGGATTTGTTAAACCACTCGTCTATGGTCACTATGCCAATACAGAATACTATCAAAAGGCTAATGGAACTGTTGTTACATTTGATGAACGTGGTGAAGTTGGTTTGTTATCGCACAATATTAAGATTAGAGGTGATTTGGCAACAAGTGAAGATTCAATGTTTGGTGGTCACACTGCCTTCCTCAGAACTGCTCAATATGTCAGACTTGATAATGTTGAATTCACACGAATGGGTCAAGCTGGTATTCCAGGTCGTTATCCAATTTACTTCCAATTGTTTGGTGATGCCAATACTTCCTATGTCCACAAGGTTTCAGTCTATGATACCTATCAAAGAGCTGTTGCATTGCAAGGAACCAATTATTTACACGTTGAAGGAGTTGTTGCTTTCAATATTTATGGACATACTTTCTTCCTTGAAGATGGTGCTGAACAGTATAACATTTTCGAAAATAATCTTGGTATACTTTCAAAGGTCATTCCAGATTCAAGATCTGTCATGCTTCCAGACAATCAAGACAATAATCCAGCCACCTTCTACATTACCAATCCAAACAATATTTTCATTGGAAATCGTGCAGCTGGAAGTGATGCTTTTGGTTTCTGGTATCATTTGGATTCCTATGCTACAGGTGCTTCTCAAACTCCATATATTAGACCTAATAGATGGTACTGGGGACAATTTGTTAACAACACTGCCCACAGTAATAATCAACATGGTATGATGTTGTATCCAAACTTTTACACATGCACAAATCCAAAGATGGAAATGTATGATTCAACTAATTGTGGTACTGATAAGAATCCTTGGTCTGAACCAGTATTTGAGAATATGAACATTTGGAAGAATAGACAAAATGGTCAATACTCCCACGTTCAAGGAAAACTCAATTTGAAGGGAAGTATCTTTGCAGACAATCCAGTTAGTTATACTGTCCTTAATATCATTATGAGTCCAATTGTTGTTAGTGGTGCCATCTTTATTGGTTTTACACAAAATAAGGGTAATCCAAATAATTGTAATGATGGTCAATGTTATAGATGTGGAACTGATTACAAGAATCCATCCTCACCATATTATAGATCACTTCCTTCATACAGTAGAAATGATCCATTTATCGGTGTTTTATATCATCGTGATGGTAATACTTTACTTCTTCAAGATTTGGAATTCTTTGATTTTGTTGATAATTGTGAAAGAAAGCTATCATCCATTGATCTTAGAAATGATGATTGGGCTTCAATGAATCAAGGTGATTATGTTACCAATAGAATGTATTTCCACAATGCTAACGTTATGTATTTACTTGCTGGTTTGGCTTCTAAGGAATCATCATTGTCTGATGTTTATAGACATGAAGTTATTATTGATACTGACGGCACTTTATCTAGAAATATTACTGTACCTTCTAAAATCAGAAGAGCTGGTGCTAGAATTATTCCAAGTACTATGATCATGGTCGATCCAATTTTGTGTGCCTATGTTAAGGAATGGAATGCTTTCATTTGTGACGAATCTGTGAATTTCAAGAGATTTGAAATTACAACTCCAGCCATTACCAATGGTATTGATAGAGCTAGAGTGAATAGTACTAATGGATATAGTGAAAAGTTGAATGGTAGATTGCAATATTGGGGTGAATGGTGGTACAGAGCACTTTACATGGATTATGGTATCTATAGATATTCCATTGATTGGCTTGGTGTTGTTGGTACACCTGAAAAGATAAGACTCGATTGGCAAGGTTCCACAACTTTGAGTGTTTCCATTGGATTTGTCAAATGGGGACCATTGAAAGTTAAGATTGAATTTACTGATGGTTCACCAACTAGAAATCTCTCACCATCCAATTTCACAGATGGTCTAACTACTTATGATTGTAAGAATAATATTGTCACTCTTCCAGTCAAGAAGGAAGCAACTGTCTATATTGAAGAGGCTACCTATGTTCCTCCTGGATCTAATTGTGTTGCTGTCATTGATACTGATTTGTGTGCTAATAGATCAAGTTGTGGTGGTGCTAAGAGAGGTAAATGTGTTGGACCAAATGAATGTGTCTGTAGATGGGGTTGGTACACTGAAACCTGTTCATCATTCCATTGTGTCCATAGAAATTGGTGTGGAGGAAGAGGTACTTGTGTTGGTCCAAATACTTGTGCTTGTTTCCCAGGTTTTGGAGGATCAGATTGTAGTCTTGTTCACATATTTGATTTGGTCAATAAGGTTTTGGCCTTTGGTGATATTCACCTTAGAACTGTTGATGCTGCAGAATATACATTCAATTCAATTGGTGAATTCTACTTGTACAAGTCTAATGAATTGGGATTACAAGGTAGATTGATGAAATGTACAGCAGATTCAAAGACATCATGTATGAAGGGTATTTCATTCATGAGCGGATCGGATAAGGTTTCAATCTTGTCTGATGGTAAGACTGGTGTTAAGGTTCTTGTCAATGATGTTCAAGTTTATCTCAATGAAACAAAAGTCAATGTTCAACCTGTTGAAGCTGATACCAAGTTTGAAATTCCAAAGGATCTTCAAAAGTTAGTAGAACAAATTAAGGGTCAAGTCGATCCAGACACTAACCAAGTTGCCAATATCACAGAATCACAACTTGTGTATAAGGAACCAGATACCCCAATTCTTGTTTTGAATGGAGGTGCCACAATTACCCAAGAAGATGATACATCAAGTTATTACATGGTTAATGGTTTGAAGTTTTATTACAAATCCATTACTGTCAAGTATAGTGGTGATTTCAAGGGTCAAATCAAATTGAGAAATGATGGACTTGGATGGTTGGCTGTTTCATTTGCTCCATCAAAGGATGTTAACTTTACTGGTACTGAACTTGGAGGTTTGTATGGTACACTCGATGGAAATAAGGACAATGAATTTACATTGAGAGATGGTACTGTTCTTCCTTCACCTACTGCTGAACAAATTCACCAAGTTTTTGGTGAAAGTTGGAGAATTTCAAAGAATGAATCCTTCTTTACTTATACTGTTGGATCTCAATATGAAGACCTTAATGTTCTTGACTTTAAGCCTATTATGAAGGCCTCTTCGGAAAATGCTACTCTACAAGCTTTGGCTGAAAAGGCTTGTAATAGTTTGGGATTGACAGCATCATTCTACGAATCATGTATGTTCGATGTCTTGTCAACTGGTTTGGTTGAATATGCTATGGCTTCTGCTACAGCCGTTGCTCAAGATTCATGCAGCAATAATGGTTCATGCACAGCAGTTTTGGTATGTCCAAACTTCTGTTCATTGAACGGCAAGTGTTTGAGTGGTGTTTGTAAATGCGATTTGGGTTATCTTGGAGAGGATTGTAGTATTCCAGTTACGTATATCAACTTGGTTGGTATTATTGTTGGTTCTGTCATTGGTGGTTATGTTGCCGTCTTGTTTGTCTGTGTTAGTTCCATTATTGCCTTAATTATAATTTCTAGAAGATACAAAGTTCAAAATGTTACTAGAATGGTGAGTATTGTGCCAACTTTGGATCATAGAGATGAATTGAGATCTGTGTGTAGTGCTGACTATGAAGACCAAAGAATTGAAATGTTGGATAGAACAATGGGCACCATTACATTTAAAAGAGAATAAATAACTTGAATTTAAATTTTTGCGAAACAGTGTTGTGTGAAAAATATTAATTTATTATTATTTTTAAAAAAAGCCACAACCATAAGTTTATTCTTGTTGATGCTTGGGAAAAATTTTGGGAGGACGATCTTAGGACCAAACTTAATGATGACAAACTTTAACAACCCAAGCCTTCATAAGAAAATGTGATGAGTTTCATATCATGCACTACCCTCTGACCTTTCTTTTTTGCATTCAACACACTCACAGTAATAGAATTATTATTTGCACGGCAAAACAATCTTTTCCAATTCTGTAGTAATTTGGTCAAAGGTTGGTCGTTGTTTTGGATCTTCCACCCAACATTTCTGCATCATATCTATTAAGGTTTCCACACTTGTTCGTTCTTGATTGAGAGTTGGCATTGTATAGTCAGATGGAATAGTTGGTCGTTTGTGATTATTGACAATATTCAACAACAAGTCATCTCCATCATTTTCATTTGCATTTTCCAAATAGTCATAATAAGCAACTCTTCCGAATAATAATTCATACATTAAAATTCCAAATGAGTAGACATCTGATTTTTCAGAACATGTGAAATTATGAAGAATTTCTGGGGCAATGGCTCTCAAAGTACCCACTGGATCTGTCAATTTAATGAATTCTGCCTTGCTCTTAAACATTGACAATCCAAAGTCGCAAATTTTGATATCTGAAGGTCTTCCATCATTTCCAATATTAATCAAGATATTTTCCAATTTCAAATCCAAATTTAAAACTATTTTCAATATTATGTAAAATAATATTGTTAACAATCTAATGAAATTCCTAACCTACCAGGAGGATTCATATCGTGCAAATAGAACATTCCAATAGAAATACTATGTAATGCATGAACCTTTTCTTTTAGAGTCAATTCTTTCCTTTGTCTGAAAATATACTTGAACAGGTTGGTATTCATAAGTTCCATAATTATGTACAATTTACAATTTTCCTCATCATAGGAAAATGAATGGTGAGAGACACAATACTTGTGTGAAATGTTGAGAATTAAATTTAAATTTTCCACAAGCCCCTCAGTGAGGTAGGGCACTTCAATGACCTTGATGGCAACTGATTGCTTTTTCCACCTTCCATAGAATACCTTTCCTTCACTTCCCGAGGCAATAGGATCCATTAATTCCATGTCATTAACTTTGGAAAATCTAACACTCGATGTAATGTCATGTGAAAGTGTCGATTCAATTTTAAAAGTTTTGGCAAAGCTCTTTGTAATATTTTCCAAAATTTGTAATTTGCTTGTGAGTGGCTTTGATTCCTCTCGTTGAGTTTTCTCCGTTTCAATAACCTCCACCTTTTCAATTTCCACAAAACTAAGATTTCACATGTGTGAATAATACATTCGAATAAATAAATACTAACCCATCATCAGTATCTGTTGTGACATAGTCCTCATTTCCCGATGGTTTATAATTCGAATGATTGTACTTGTTTGGTTGAAGAGTCTTTTTCATCCAATCAAACAATGAAGCTCTATCACTTGCTAAATATGAATAAACTGATGAATTTTTCTCACACAAATCAATTGCTTTATGACCATCCGCCTATTCAAGTTTCGTTTTTGAAATAACCTTTAACAATAACCTACATTTTCAAGTGTTGTGTTGGCTCCATTCTCCACCAGAATTTTCACAATCTCCAAATTTTGATTATAACAAGCCCAATGCAAAGCCGTCTAATTTTTCCAATATTTCATATAATAATTCCATCATTCATCACAACAATATTTCCAATAATCCTCAACAATTTTATAAACCTACATAATTCGAAGGCCACTATTAAAATCAATAATGATGATATAATCGTAATTTCAACAGAGGTTAAACCTACATCAGTCTTATCGATAATTGCCATCACTTGTGTTTTAAAATCGGAAAATAACATTTTGATAATTCCAACCGATTCATACTTGGCACACATCAATAATATATTCTTCATATTCCAATTATTCAATATTATTCAATATATTCATCCAAAGTTTAAACGTTAATTTAGAGTTTCAATACAAACCATCGACTATTTAATGTATTAATTATTAATAACCAATTCCGAAGGCAGGCACTAATACTTACCTTATCATCTTCATAATTGAATAGATTTAAATCTTGATTGAGAATACTTTTGCACAATTCGACTTGATCCGATTGGCAACTGCTCACTAATTGACTCTGGAGTGATTGTCCCATTTTTTTCAAAAATATTCAAAAAAACTTTACAATCAAACTCTTTATTTGTTAAATTTATTACTGTAAAACTGAGTTGTGATATTAAGGAAATGAATCTTTTCATTCTGAAATATATCAAAGTGTTTATCCAGATTTCTTTACGGGAAGCCAAGACTATATCTAAAAACGAATTCCCTATCTTGTTTAATTTCTTATTTGAGGGAACTTGAATATCTGAAGCATGTCAAATAAACTTTGTTTAGAGTCAAGCCAGGAACATAAGTCTCTAAAAAGATAAACTATCGAGAAATATCGTCAACTTTGGCAAGAAAATCCTTTTCAAATAAATTATATCCCTTATCTTTCATAACGACCAATTTAACAATCGAATCCATAAATGTAAATATTTCCTTCTCACTTCTTGGTTTCAAATCAACATATGCAAGAAACTTCTTTCCATGAATATATTCCAAAATTTCACTATTTGCCACAAATTCATCCGAATAATGCTCGCATGTATACTTCAAATTATACATTGAGCTATTCTGAGATAGTGCACCCCAATTTAGTCCTATCAGAATATAAATACATCCAGGTTTTATAGAAAGTGAAGGAATGATAGAATGGGCAACTTCATTCCAACTCGATCTCAATAACTTGTTAAAAAAAATTAAAACAACTGCATTATTGTAAAATGTTAAATGTGCACTCACACTCTCGAAACACATCATTGGAAAATTGGAATATGTAATCTTGGCTTGTGAACTCTCCGATTTGAGGACCAATCCCTTAATATCTGTATTAGAGAAAATAGTTGGAATGTAATCATATGGAAATATGCCATCATGATAAGTGAACAAGAGTGCATTTGTTGTTGCTAGTTTTCCCTCAATAATAATAGCAGTTCTCACATTCTAAATTGACTCATCCTTTTGTGGAATTTTCAAATGTTTCTCATCAATTAATCCCTTATTCAAATAAATTCTATAATTTACATTAATCCTCCTTTCCATTTGTAAATCTTTGCAAATATCTAAGGTAATTTTTCTATAGGAAAACTTTTCATCAGTATTATTCCGTGTTTTTTCCATCAATATTTTCCAATATCTGAGAAAATACTTTTCCGATATCGGATCAATGATCATTCCCTTGATCATTCCTCTCATATTCTTCATCTGGCACTCTTTCCAATACAATTCATCATCCAAACATTCAATCCAAAAATTAAATTCACTTGAAACTCTTCTCATATGCATCAATTCTATCGGATTAATAAATTTCATAATCACCTCTTGCCATACATCCCTTCCGATCAAGGAAAAGTTTCCAAACAATGAAGAATTTGAATCTTGTTCCTTTTGTTTGTTACTTTTTGATTCATGTTGTTGGTGATTAATTTCATTACTATTATGAATGATGGAATTTGATATGAAGAAGGATTGGATCGCTTCTAGGGATTCACTTGAAGCTTTGCATCGCATTTTTTAATTTGTTTTTAAATATTGAGTTTTGTAATGAATTGTAAATATGTAATAAAATTTCCTTTAATAGGTGGGTTTCAAAAATTATCAATAATTGTTTCATTAGCTCTTTAATGTATAACGTATTTAAATATGTAGTAATTATTATTAGGATTTTAATAAAATTTAAAAAAAAATAGGATGGATTCGGATATTCTTCATCACACATTCGAATACATTTCGGACTATTTGAATGATAACGAGAATAATTTAATCGACCAACAACAACCAGTTGTAATGGCCATCAACCAAGCCATTTCAACTACTCAAGTCGATTATACATCTATTATCCTCATCATGGGTTCGGTGTTTATTGTATTATTCTTGTTGATTTTAATTACGTGTGCCATCTTGAGAAATTCAAAAAGTAGGTTTCGAATAATATTATCATTAAATATATTCGAAAATTAAATAGGAAAATATAAATTTTATCAATTTCAAAAGAGAGAAAAACAACCCCGAGAATTTGATAAGGAATATTTCAAATCAAAAGCATCACATTGGACAGTTTCTAATTCGGTAAAGGCCTATTCTATTCAAGCTAATGAAATTTTTCAAAATTGGAAACCACCTGTTTTCCAATTGAAAGCTCTTCCTCACTTTGCTCATTTATATGTAGTGAGCAGTTCAACCAATCATCCACAATGTGAAGGATATGTATTCTACAATAATGTGAGAGATTCAATGGGAAGTTCTCTTTCGAATATTTCAATTTTGAATAGTTCAAGAGTTGCTGCTCATCAATCTACAGATTTAACTGAATTGAGAAAGGGTATATTATTGGAAAGGAAGCCAACTTCTTCAACCATTGCTGGAGCATCTTTGGAAAATATTGAACTTGAATTTAGAAATCCTTCAAATGTTGGAATCTCAATCACTACTCCACCACCATCCACTCAACCAATTCCACCATCCACTGGTATTGTTCAATCATCATCCACTAAAATTCTCTCCCAATCAACATCTCAACTTAATATGGCCAATGGAGGAAAATATTTTTCATCTCTTTCAAAGGGAAATTTAAACTCTTCTACTGGAACTGTTGTTATGGCAGAGCAAAATATTGTAAATTTACACATGGATGATTTGTATAGGATTATTCAGAGGAATTACTTTTCATTTTGTGAGTTTGTACTGTATTCTCCACTGCTCATTGAACGATCTGTGGCATCAAAGGATCCAGAATTATATTTTCCAGCAAATGTAACAGTAAGACAATATATTTGTGATATTGTCTTATCTAAATACCACAACATGACTAAAAATCCTGAAGTGTATGACATTTGGATGGAATATATTGACACGTTTGAAAAATGTAAATATGTAGAGAGCTGTGGAAAGGCCAAAGCTCAAACTCTAAGTGAATCAGAATTCACTGTATTTTTAGGACATCTAAACATGCTACTAAACTTGAGATATAAATAATGAATTGACACATTCACTATTTATCGAGCTGAAAGGGAAATTAATTGTAAATATTTAAATTTCTATCTGAAGAAATTATATAAATTTCTCCTCTTCTCTCATCAATAGTCATTGCTGTTATCTGCTGTAAATCCAATTTCTTATTTTCTACATTAAACTGTTCATCATACCACGCAATGAAATATGAATCTTCAATAGTATAAATCAATTGTGAACTTTTCTCATAGTGTATTCCCTCCACTGATGCATAGAGAGGCTCAGTTTCCTCTTCTTTCCATTTGTTTTCTTCCAAGCAAAAAGTATATTTTCCTAATCCATTAAGACTTGATGTTAAAATCTGGCCTTTTTCATTGAACTTCATAAAGTAATTATAGTAAAGATCCACAAATGAATGATCTAATTCACCATTACTGCCATTGTAAACAACCAGTCCATCGGTAAAGTACATTAGGTAAACATATTGTTTTGAATTGACTTCCTTTAGGGCTATCTTTCTTTGTGAGATATGCTCGTCATCTCTAAAATAAAAACCATAGCTATTCTTCCATAGTAATGAATTATTACCACCACTACTAACCAATTGATTCAAATCATGTTTTTGCAAGGAAAAACATTTTGTCGAATAATTAATGACCAATAAATAGAGAAACTCTTCGGCATTATCAATTTCAATGGAAGTAATGCCATTTTCAATTGAAATTGATTTTAGATATTGTTTAGATTGATAATCCAGGAGAATCAAGTCACTTCCCTGTGTAATGATGATCAAATTGTACTTGTACACAATTCTAACATCCTGATAAAAGGAAGTATTCGAAGAAGAAGCATAGGGAGACAATGAAATAGTATTTAAAAGATTAAATTGTTTGGAGAAGGGTTTTAATTCGATAGAAGAAGAGCAGAGTTTTCCTTTCAGCATGGAGTGCAATCTTCTTTTACAATCATCATCAAACTGGAAATCGCACAAGCTAATGCAAACCTTTTCTTCTTCATCACGATGAAACATTTTTTCTTCTTTCACAAATCAATCATCTTACTTTATAGTATGGAATATTGACAAATATTGTACTAATAAGAATTTATCAAAGAGTTATCTTGCATTCATCAAGGATGTAACCTTAAATAACAAGCTGTTCTTTTCAAACACTCAAATATTCGTGTTCGATTCCAAGCACCTTCGATTGATGAGGTGGAGTTGCTGTTGTTCAGAAAACAATAGAAAAAAAACTCCATACCAAACAACACAACACTCCAACAACAAGAAAAGGAATAATTGAAGAATCAGCCGATAAAAAGGAAGAACTATTCTCTTTCGAGTCGTTATCATCATCATCATCACTACAAATCAACAACAACAACACGACCCACGTTTGATAATTAAAATTTAAACAAGATGGCTGATAGATTGATTTCTAGTGTGTTGGGAAAATATCTTTCCGTCTTTATTAAAAACTGGGGAAAGGATGCCTTGTCTCTATCGTTTATGAAGGGATCAGGGTCTCTGAATAATTTATTCGTCAATGAACAAGTTATTCAAGAGGTTTTACCTATTGATTTTCTTCAAGTAATGGATGCTCACGTCAATCAACTCTCCATACGTTTACCAGGTCTTACACGTTTAACAAATGATCCTCTCATCATCACTCTCGATAAGTTGGTTATCAACTTGGAGGAACCAACAAAACCTTTTGTTAAAAAGACACCACTGAAGGATTTTCTGGAAAAGAACAGAGGATCTCAGGGTGATGAAGGTTCTTCTTCATCAAAAACAGGTACCAGCAAGTATGGATTTGTGGATAGAATTATTGATGGTCTCAAGATTGTGGTAAATAGAGTTGAAATTAATATTAAAACTCTCGGGCCAATACCTTCAACACAAATTGGACCATATACACCTCATGTATTGCAAATTCTAGTCAAGGGATTTACCCTTCAAACAACAGATTATAGATTTAAACCTGTACCAGATTTAAAACAAGCCATCCCAAAGGTTGATAAAAATCCTTTTGTTTGGGTGCATCGTATGGGTACTATTGAATCAATATCCATCTCTCTCATACCTAGTTCAGTCTTTTCTAGCACAGGTATAAAGAGTACACCATCAGCAAATAGTTTCTTACCAAACTCAGACCCTATCAAGCTTTTAAATGATATAACTTGTAATATCTTTATAACAATGAAAAAGCGAGCAGTAACAGTGGGTAAACAATCATCACTACTGAGTATCAATGCTGAAATTATTCTTCCTAAAATAGCAATAACACTAAGACAGGACGATATTAAAGCACTTATCAGAGTCTTGTTAGCTTTTAAATCAGCATCAGCAAGACAGGATTTAATTCAACCAAAAGATCCACTAACAACATATGTAAAGAGAACAAAAAGATCAGGCAGTCAATCTAGTCTTTCATCAAAATCTAGCAAAACATCAATGACCAACACAACAACAACAGCTAGACAATCTAAAGCAATTTCTAAATTCTTTGTTGATAATAATGGTGATGAGGAGGATTCGGATGATGAAGCCAAACTTGAAGAGGAATTGGCAGAAATGGATGGAGATTTAAATGATATGGAAATTATTACAGATGATATGATTAAGAAATCCTCAACTCCACAAGACACTGTCAGAAAGTGTATAGTTGTAAATTTAAACGAGTTTTCAATGACATTTTTGTATAGTCGTGATGAGAATAATCAACCTAAACAAGTTGTTGGAAGAGAAAATAGACGTGTACTTGGGTACTATTTTGAAATGTTGGGATTCCAGTTAGGCTTGGTCATGCCAGAGGATACACCTGAGGATAAGAATATTCAACTCGGAATTCCTTTCATCCAATTTAAGGAAATTACTACAAGTTTCAAGGGACAAGGAAATTTATCAGAAACAGCAGCTTCTTTCTTGGATTTGGAACTCATTGGAAATCACAATACTACAGATAATGAATTGAAAGATGAAAATTATATTATTCAACCTCAAATATTTAAAGAAGAGTTTGAAGAGGATGATTTTGTGAGTCATCATGCAGAAACTACAAAAATAGTGAGTCCTACAGTTACAGGATCACACAGTTATACAGTCAATTTGGACGTCTGGCCTGAATTTTTATCAACACACAGATACTATCCTGACTATACTAAAACTGATAGAGTATACCGACCAAACTCTGTCATTAAAAGAAAATTCTTTGAGGAAGGGAAAGAAATGGTCAGGTTAAAGTTTGTTAAGGGTGAAGGAATGGAATTCATTTTAGAATGTAGAGTGAATCCTATCAATATCATGCTCGATGTTCGTAGACTTATTAGATTATTGGAATTTTCTCTAGAATGTTTACCAGACATGTCCGTCAAACCTCCTGTGGATAGTATCATACAACTTGGTAAACCTCTTAATCCAACTGGTTCACTCAGCTCTATGGCATCCACAACTAAAAGTGCAGAAAAGTTGAAAGTTTCACCATCCAGTAACTCTATCAATTCATCAAATTCTGATTACAATTCAGATGAAGAAAGTGGAGGAGATGAGAAGAGCTTCTCCTTCCTTGTGGAAATTAGAAGTCCAAAAATTTTTATTCCTTCAAATTACTCACCAGATCTAATGACCGATGTGAATGAAATTGTTTGTATTGATAATAGAGAATTGATCATCACTAGTGATCCTAGAATTAGAAAACAATCGGAATGGGGAAAGAAGGATAAGGATTCACTCTTTGCTCCAAAATCAATTGATACATTCCCATCAAGTGGTTCAGATTACAGTTCGTTACATTCTTCTCTATGGGAAGTTTTGCCAAACAAGTTCAAGGTCAAAATATCCGACTTTTTGATTCAAATCATGCCTTCCATTCACTCACCACCACAGAGAATTATGGAACCTCTTTCCTTGACTTTTGATTTGGGTATCAATGATGAAACCTTGTCAGATTACCATGCCAAGTTACCAAAAATTGTACTTCTTACCTTTATTGAAAATTTGAATTTCCACATGAACCAATCTCAAGTGATTTTATTGTTGGAATTCATACGTACATTTGTTGATGATCCTCCAATGATCAAGTCCTTCCTAATTCAAAGTACCAAATCATTCCATGACCATAATATTGATCTTTTCAAAAAACCAAATCAACCTCAACCTATTATTGAAGCTCCAAAGGAAGATATTCGTCTCATCCCTCTCATGTTCATGTCCAAGATTGCCAAGCTTGAAGTTTCAATTACTGCTTCATCTGCCACCTCAATGGAGGCATTCTTCTCCTCACAGTATGACCCTTCTTTGGATGCAAAATTATTGACTATGGTTTTGAGTGGAGCTGAGGTTTTAGTAGAAACCAACAATACTACAAAGGTTAGCAACTTTTTAACGGTGAAGAGTAAGATTGCTCACTTTGAAATAACTTCTCCACAAAATGGTGAAAATCCTTCTTCGATCATGGTAAGCCATATGCATTCGAGCATTTCACAAAAGTCTCCATATGTATTCCCAATGTATGATAAAACCAAATCTCCTGGTCACATGATAGTTTTCAGATATGAACATCCAATGGATTTGAATGCTGATACTAAAAAGTCACCAGCAACTCCTAGTGACCAACCACAGATGGAACCTCACAGAAATTCAAATTTTTTGAGAAATCCAAGACTTATTTTGAAAGCAAACGGACTTCACATTGGTTTAAATACTGACACTGCATACCATGTTCTTCATTTCTTAAATTCCAGAGAAAATGCATTTGATGTATCACCTATGGAAATTATGAATAGAACAGTGAAGAGAACATACAGTAAGATTCGTGAAAAGTACTTGCCTGAAAAGAAGAAGGCTCAAGAGGAAGAAGAGGAATTGGTTTCACAATTGCCTACTGACTTTTTGGAGAGCGAAACAGGAATTACTTCACCAAAGGTTGAAGAGTCTCTTTCACCAAAAGACTCAGTTGAAGTTTTAGAGGAAAACCAAGAAGAACAAACACAGCAACAACAAGAATCTTCTTTACCACAAGTAGCTGGACAGGAAGCAGAGTCGAAATCGGCTGCTACTTCACCTTCAGAAAAGGATGAAGAGGATGAAGAACCATTGACTGATGAAGAAATGAATACCGAAGAAGGTGATGACTCATTTGAGATTATTACTTCAGAATCGGCCTTCGATACTCCAAAGGAAACACCAACTCTAACATTGACAATGAAAGAAATTGACTCATTTGTTTCTGTGGAAGTTGATTCGTCAGAGAAAAAGCCAGAACCTATTTCCATAGCAACAGGCATTTCCACACCAACAATTCGTACCATAGAACCTGCCAAAATTGAGAGAAAAACCAAAGAAAGTACTGCTGAAATTATTCCAGTCATTAAGGAAGAAATCATTCCAACCATCAAGACTGAATTAATTCCAGTCATCAAGACTGTTGCTAAAAAGATCAAAGATACAAAGAAGAAACCACAAGTTGTTAAAGAACAATCAGAGGAACAAGAACTTACGGAGGAGGAAGAGGACAAGAAGACAGTTCAAGAATTCTTGGCCACCACTCACCAAACTTTCTATCCAATGTTGTTCGACATTTCTCTTGAGGAGGTTGAAGTTTATGTCATCGGAAAAGGTCAAGGACCAAATGCTGTTGGTGTGGAAATCAAGACATTGGGGGTCACTCACTTGCCAACAAGAAGTATCATGGAGGGTGCTACCCTACCAATGTTTGATAGTCTCTACCGTATTGAACATTTGGACAGAATATCAAAACAACCTGTTCAAAGCTTTAGTAATAGATCTCATGAATATGAACTCAAGCTCTATGGTACTGGTACAAATGTTCACTGTTTGATTAAGACTGGTGTTCCTTTCAAGTCATTGGATGATATTAACAGTGCTCCAAAGACTTCAACATTTGACAATTTGGAAGTTGTTCCACTCACCTCGGCACCAGTTGATTGGATGATTGGACTTATCAATGATTATACCAAGCCATTGAGTAAGAGAGGTATTTGGTTCCAAGCTATGGATCCTTCCCTTGGACATTCAGAGAACTCTTTGCGTATTGAAATCAAACCAGAGATGGTTTATGTAATTTCCAAGCTCTTGAGAAGCCAATTCAAGGATATCAAACAATGGGCAGATATGTTACAAGGTTATTTTGCCATGTTTGCTGATAAGAAGACTCTCTTGATTATCAAAAAATTCCAAAATTTGGGAGATTTAATAGCAGAATCACAAAGATCCTTCACAAAGACTCTTATTGAACATTATAGTTTGACAAGACTTTTCAATAATATGCACTCTGAACTCAATGATAAGACAGAAGCTTTGAATGAAGCCATCAAGAGTAAGATTCACCTTACAGAAGTATTGGCCGATATGCAAAACCAACAATCATCTATCAAGACTCCTTCTAAACAACCCCAAGCTGTTACCAACACACCAAAAGTTGATGACAATAAGAAGAATATTCTTATTGAAGGACCTTGTAAAGTACTCACTCACAGTTCAAATACTTTCAAGAGAATTCACTGTGTCTTGTTAGATACTTGTGAAATTTTGTGTCTCACTCAAAAACTTCCACCTCAAAGCTTTGTAAAGGATTCTACAAATGCCATTGATAAGTACTTGTTCTATCATATGGCTTTGTCTGATACAACAGAGTATATCAAGACACAAGTACCAATTGAAGAAAATCAACCAATGCCAAAGGAAGTTTTGGCCATCATTAATGGTAATGAAAAGAGACTTTTCATCTATCCAGAAACTCCTAACCAACTTGCAGACTGGATTAGATTAAGTGCTAGAGTAATTGAAGAACTCCGTATCAAAAATATGCGTATTGACATGAGTGTTCAAACAGATATTGGCAGAGATTTCTTTGAAACAAGGAAGCAAGAAGTTGATGATAAGAAGAATGAAGAAATTGTTAATAGAGTTTTAACAGATGAAAGTATTGAACATCAAAATCGTGAGTTGAGAGGCATGCAAAAGCAATTCGAAATTATCAAGAATTCTCTTCGTGTTGCTGCTGAAGAAGAATTTTCTCTCAGAGTTGAATTCAGTCAACTCCATGAATATATCCAATCTTTTAGAAAGGAGCAGGAAAACCGTGAGCAAAGTATCTCCACTTACCTTACTCAGGAGAGTGAAACACGTAAATTGCTGAACCAACAAAAGCACTTGACCAAACAATTACAATCTGAATGTGATCTCAGAGATAGAAAGATTACCGATTTGGACTTTAAACTAAAGGAAGAAAAGAAAAAGTTCAAGAAGGCTCAAGAGGAAACAAATGCTCTTCATAGAACTCTTCGTGAACATATCATTCAATTACAACAAGATTTACAAAAGACTCAAATCGACAAGGGAAAGGTTGAGAAGGAGTATAATGTACTTGTAAAGAGACAAATTCAACAAACTGAGAGAGCTCTCAAAATGGAAAAGAAGGGTGAATCAGCTCAAATCGTCAGAGGTGAAATTAATGACCAACAATTAGTCAATGCAGAATTGAAGAATATCATTTCTGATTTGTATGTGCAGTTGGCGGAGTTAAAACAACAAAACCAAAACCTTCAAATGCAAAATTTGGAGTTGCAAACCAAACTATTGCAAGACAAACTTACCGAACCTCAAGATGAAGTTTCTCCTGCTCAAACAGGTGAAATCAAACTTGAAACAGTGTTGAGCTTTTCTGGTAAAGACAAACTCCTAGCCAATAATAATGGAGCTAGTTCTCCTACTGATGACCATGATAGAAAACCATTGCCAACCATCCCACAAAAGAATCTCCCAACACTTCCAGTTTTACCACCAAACCAACGACCAACCACAGGTCAACCAAACAATGGATTATCTACACCATCACTCAGAGAAAGAGGTGCTACCATTGCAGGAAAATTGACAAACACTGCTGGTAGACTTCGTTCATCTTTCATTGGAAAACTTTCAGACTTGAATACCCCTAACAATCCTTCCAATAATAAATAACTTGTAAGAGAGTGAAAAAAATGTCATCATTATCTTTCAGTAAAGAGGCATCTGTTTTGATGTGTTTTTTAATCGTGACATTGTTTTTCACATCACCAGTTTTTTGTCAACAAGAAATACCAACAACGGAAAGTTTAGTTCGGAAGAGACTTGTGCAATATAAATCAAAACCTGTTATTGGATATTTGGAGAAGAAGAACCAGCTGTCTGGCGTTGCTGCGAGGGCAATGTTCTCAAAAGTTGATCCAAACATTATTTATTTCACATCAAACACAGGTAGTGAAGGATATCAACTTGCAAAATTGAACATTGAAACAGGTGATATCAGTTTTGTTCGGTCCAATGTTTGGCCCAAGTTTCAGGTTGTTTCCTTTCAATCGTCGTCAACTAGAGCAATTGATTTAATTTATTTCTATTCGGATTGTTTTTTGAAGAGACTAAACACTGCAGATGGAATGATCACAACTTTGGCTGGAGATGGTCAATGTAAATTTTTGGATTCCACAGAAAAAGTGAATGCCACATCAATTTCTATTTATCCCCAAACAATCTCCGTTCCAATTAACAAGTATTCGAATATGGATGAAATTGATGTTTATTTCACACAAGATTACAATGTATTCTTGTTAAGGAATGGTTATGTATCTCTGTACAGGACTTTTTCAGAGTCAATTCAAGGAATTATCATTAATGAAAGAGATGAATGGCAAGTTTTACTTCAATCAAAAGGTGAAAGAATATTCAGAAATGGAACACGTACTGTTTTTGACTGTAGGAATAGTATGTCTTTTGCTTTTGATGTTACCTCTTTGAAAACATATCAAAATGGACTTAATACGATTGTGGAAGAAACTTTTTATTTTTCTGGACCTCAAGCAGTGACATCTAAGAAATTTACAACTGTTTACAATCAGGATGAAAGTGTGAATTCACTCGAAATGGGAGTTTTCGAACATGTCATTAAGGGAACAAACACAGGATCATTGGGCGATGGAGGGCTAGCCATTGAAGCTCAAATAACCAATGCAATATCAGTCACAATTTCCATTGGAGGAGCAATTGTTTTTGTGGATGTTTCAGATGAAATGAGAATGGTGGATAGAAGGTCAGGATTAATTTCAACAATTTACTCGAGTAGGGTTCCCTTTGCTGAAAAAACCAGAGGAACAATGACTGGTCTCAGATCACCAAAAGATTTGATCATTATTAAGAATAAGAATGGAGAAGAGGAATTGCTGATTTCTGATTCTCAATCAGCTCGTTTACTGAAATATTCATTTATGAGTGGAATATCTGAAAGGATTAGCACTTCTCTATTAGATTTGAAACGTGGATTACACAGTAAGATTCCTATATTTACTGATCCAATATCAATTACCACTGATCACCAATCAAACTTACTCGTAGTTAATAATATTAACTATTGGGCTTCGAATTTTCTTGTGAAATTCAATTTGAATACTCTAGAATCTCAACCAATGACTGGATCATTCTTCTTTAATTCAACCAATACACAAATGGTTGATGGTTTATCAGAAGTTCTCAACAGTCCACAAGGAGTTTGTGTTGCAGTAGTGAATTACAATCTCGAAAAGAATGTCACTCTATTTGTTTCAGACACAAAGAATTATAGAGTTTTAATGGTAGATGTTAGTACTGGAATATCCCAAACACTGGTTTCAAAGGACAGTGGTATTGGCACTCCAGTTGGCATTGCCTATATAAGTAATTATGTTTATTTTTCAGATAGTGAAAAACATTGTTTGTGGCGAGTGAATATTAGAACTAGAAAATTGGAACTATTTGCTGGAATACCAACAGTGAAGGGTTTTAATGGAGATAACACACTGTTGAACACAACATTTAATAGTGTAAGTTTGAAATTTTTGATAATTTGCAATATTTACAAACTCTATAGCCAAAAGGAATTCATATTGACTCTGCTGATAAAGTTTTACTGGTTGCCGACTCTAGAAATCATAGAATTAGATCAATTTACTTGGGCAGTAGTACATCTCAAATGGTAAAGACAGTTGCTGGTTCTGGACATGAAGGATTCAATGGTGATAATATTTTATCAACTGAAACTCAATTGAGCTTTCCTGAGGATGTTGTCGTGGTAGATAGCCAAATGATTTGCATTGCCGATACGGGTAATCACAGAATTCGATATGCCACTATTAATGGTGTTACAGATACCTATGCAGGCACAGGTGAAATTGGTAATGGAGGTGACGGTGGATTTGTTAGAAATATGGAACTCTATCTCCCTAAAAGTATAACCATTTCACAGAATACCATGTTTATAGCTGATACTAATAATAATAGGATTAGGACTGTCTCGATTTCTACTGGAATTGCTGATACATTGATTGGAGGTGGAGAATTTGAGGAGGGATTGGGAATCAAATCCAAGCTCAGCTATCCTTCAAGCGTCAGATATCTCCAGTTACCAAGTGGTGGAACTCAATATCTGGCAATTGCTGATACTTACAGTAATTTGGTGAAACTTTACAATTTTAAAACTGGTATCGTCAAGACTATAGTTGGTGGAATAGGTGATAAGGGATTGGCATCCTATGCTTCAATTAAACCTTATGCGGTTTCTGTTTCTCCTCTCAATGGAGAAATTTATGTGACCGATTTTGGAAATAACAAGATTAGAAAGATTGATAGAAATGGAATAATTTCAACAATTGCAGGAAAGGGATATGGTTTTAATGGAGATTCAAATGATGCTAAGTCTGCACTTTTGGCTCAGCCAACCGGAATTGCCATCAATTTGGATAATGAAATTATATTCGCCGATTCGAATAATAATAGAATTAGAATGATTCATGTGAATGGATCAATTTCCACCATTGCAGGCAGTGGAAATCCTGGATACATAGATGGAATTGCTGAACAGGCAGAGCTTAATTATCCAACTATAGTGAAATTGGTACCTCCTGATTTTGTGGATATTATTTTCATTGATTCACTGAATGCAATGATTAGGAAAATAAGTAGACGAAATGGAATTAATCTAGTTTACACAATTGCTGGAAATTCAACTGTGAAAGAATTGGATTTGAATGAAATTTTGGCAACGAGTGATTATTTGGCATCTCCACAAGGATTTACAATTTCCCCTAGTTCTGGATCGATTTACTTATCAGATTCTACTCAAAATGTCGTGAGACAACTGACACCATTTTGTAGAGAGGGTTACCTTTTGAGTAGAGATTTGACAATGTGTATTCCAATATGTTTTGGAATACCAGCAAATATTTCAGAATCAGTGTGTAGTGGAAACGGAAATTGTTTCGATATTAATCAATGTTCTTGCAATCAAGGTTTTTTTGGCAATAACTGTCAATTACCAATTTGCTTTAATTATCCAAAGACATCTGTGGAAGTTTGCTCACATGGAAATGGATCTTGTACAGCACCAGATAATTGTGTTTGTAATAGTGGATATACAGGAAAAGATTGTGGGGTTGCTATTTGTTTTGGTCAATCAGGATCAAGTGCTTGCTCAGGACATGGAACATGTGTAAAACAGGATGAGTGTCTTTGTCAATCTTCCTACTTTGGAAAGGATTGTAGTATCAACACGATTGCCCTCGGATTGGGACTCTCATCTGCCATTGTTTTACTCATCGTTACTGCCATTTGTTTCATTATCTTTATTTCGTATATTTCTGTAAAACGAAAGAATAAGAAACTGACTGAAACTGATCTGGTTTTAGATGAAAGATTGTTGGACCATTATGAATCAAGTATGGGATCTAGTTCTTACTATGTGGAAGAGGCAGATAAATTCATCATTCCAATAGAACAACTCAATATGGACAAACCAATCAAGAGACTCGGAGAAGGTGGAATGGGTTCTGTTTTTGCAACCAAATTCAATGGAATGACAATTGCAGTCAAGGTATTCGATTTGAATAATTTGAGTATTTCAGAAAATGATTTCAAAGTGGAAGCAATTTTATTAAGCAAATTAAGGCATCCAAATATTATCAATTTCTATGGTGTTTCATCGACACCAACAAAGAGATTCATTGCCATGGAGTGCATGGATAAGAGTTTAGAGGCAATGATTGCATCCATGCAACGTGGCTATTCCAAATGCACTCTCAATGAAAAATTGGCAATATTGAGGAACATTGTGAGTGGAATTTATTATTTGCATCATTTGGAACCGAATTTCATTGTCCACAGGTATGTATTAATACTAAATTTCACCTAAAATAATCTTTCATTTGTGGAATAGAGATTTGAAACCAGCCAATATCCTTCTCGATAAAAGTGGAACTGCCAAACTGTGTGATTTTGGATTAGGACGAGCTTTTTGTTCTCACACAATTTCAGCAATTACCAGTCAGATTGGAACCAGCTCATTTATGGCTCCGGAGCTTTTCTCTGGTGAAATTGAGAGAGAGGACGCCCGTTCTATTGATATCTACAGTTTGGCCATCATTATGTGGCAATTATTATTCGAAATTATTGAACCTTACCATAGCTCAGATCCAAACGTTCTCAAAAAGTTGAAAATCACCAAACCAACACCATTTAGTAGTTCGTATCACTTCCATAAGAGTGTTTGTGAGGAGAATTTGAGGCCAATCATTCCATTCTCAACTTGTGAAGAGTGTAAGAAATGGTGTGAGGAATTTCTTGATAAGGAACAAGTAATTCACCATGAATTGATTTTTGAAATGACAAAAGTGATTCGCCAGATGTGGAGTCATGAGCCAGGTAAACGACCTTCTATTGATGTGATATTGAAAAAGGTTGAAGAATGGGATTTGCTTCTTCAATAACAATCGTCCCATTAGTTGGAAGGAAAATCAAGAGAAATGAAAAGAAATTCATTGAATGGAAAATAACATTTGAGAAATATTGAAGAATAGAATTTGCTTCTTCAAACAATCACTTATTAAAAATCTTTCACACAGTCAACCTAAAGTTTTAATCCGAATCTCCGAAAGCAAACAATAAAAAAATGTCATCATCAACAACAAGAAACATCACCATTGGCATTGATGGCGGATCAACAGGCACCACCATCGTAGCTCTCGACAATTCCACACAAGCCATCCTCTCAACAGCTCACTGTCCATCTTCCAATAAGAATAGTGTTGGAGCTGATAAAGCTAAACAAGTCATTCTTGATGGTATTAGACAAGTATTGGCAGAGTGTTGTTCATCTGAAGCACAAGAACAACAATTGGAAAGAGTTTCTGCTGTCTGTTTGGGATTGAGTGGTGTAGATCGTCCAGATGATATTGCTGAAGTGAGATCATGGATTTGTGAATTATTTAACATTCCTTTATCATCATCATCATCAAATTGCGAAGAAAATAACAACAAATATCCTGAAATTCACATATTCAATGATGCTGTAGCTGCTATCTGTAGTGGAACATTGGGTAGTTTGCATCATGTGATATGTTTGATTGCAGGTACTGGATCGATTTGTCTCGGAACCAATGATGATGGTCAAAATTATAAGAGAACTGGAGGATGGGGACCATTGTTGGGTGATAGAGGAAGTGGATTCTGGCTTGGCTCTCAAGTCTTGTTAAGTGCAGTTGATTGTGAGGATGAATATGGAGAACAAACTGTTCTTACTCAATTGGTTAAGGATGAATTGAAAATTCATTTAGGAGATGCATATGATGGAAAGAATTTGAGTAATTTAATTCCATATATTTACAAGAATACAGAATGGAGTAGAATTGCTCAATTTGCACCACTTGCTTTCAAGGCCATTAGTGAATCTGATGATGCTGTCTCAAAGAAGATTATTCAACAAATGGTCAATGATTTGTTTCATTTAGTGAAAACCACTGCAACTAAATTGAATTTCACAAATGGATCGGAAAAGTTTTCATTGGTATTCTGTGGAAGTATTCTCACTCATGAAAATTCAATTGTTGCTGAGGGATTAATTGAGAAATTGAAGGAGAGTTTTGGAGACTTGATTCAAATTATTGAAAAACCAAGAGTGGATCCAGCTGTAGGAAGTGCCTTATTCTATTTGAATAAGAAGAAGTAATAAGAATAATAATATTCAAATTTCATTATTTTGATTAGCATCACCATCAAATTGATCTTTAGAATCTTAACATCTTGGAAGCAAGAAGGAAAAGTAAGATTTTGCAAATTGTAATTATAATCATTTTAAATATAATAGTAATATCAAATACAAATCATTCTCTTCTTCTTATTGAGTTCCTATTCGGAAAACCTTCCATCTAAGAAGAGATGAAGCAAAATAGAGCGAGGGTGGTTCATTATTAAGGCGGGAAAGAACTTTTTATTTTTTATAAAATTCAAAAAGGAACCTTAAAAAAATGAATCAAATTCCAATGAGGGCATTGAAAATTTTCGCTGTTGCGGTTATTGTTTTATTAGCCTTGATTAATAATATACCACTCGTTAAGGGTCAATGTAAAAATTTGGTTGCTAGTATGGGTGATCAATTGCATTGTGGAGAAACAATAATTTCAAATCTTACTTTCTGTTCAATGATGAACGGAAGATATACCGATAAGGCTTTCTTCTCAAAACCAATCGTTACAGGAAACGGAACATACTCTACCTATGCTGAATATATGGATAAGTTCCTTGAAGGTAGGTTTTCAATATGATGATGTGATGAATATAATGATCTGTATAGATTCCTTCAACAGTATGCAAGCCTATTTGCTTGGAAAGGGTGTTACAAGTTGTCCATCCTGTATTGAAAAGTTGAAGTATTCTTATTGTGCAAATGCTTTCCCAAAGAATGGTTATATTAGTTGTGTTGCTAATAATTACTTGTCCTATCTTGCTGAAATTGGAAAGTCATGTAGTGGCTTTTGTTGTGCAAACTCTGGCTTGTGTGTTATTGATAGTTACGGAAAATCATGTCAAACAAAGACTCTCTCAATTGAAAATTATAGTTTGCTTACATGTATTGTTCCAAAGTTGCCAGATCTTTTCACTAAGCTCGGATCCTGTTCTGAACACTTTATGAATATTGACCACTGTCAAACCCTCCTTTCAACTTGCGATTGTAGCAGTGATGCTTCTAGTTACAAGTACACTTGTAGTAGATTCTACTCTGAAGATGGTTTCAAATTCGATAACTTTGGAGGAAGTTCAACATGTACTGACACTACTGCTTATCCAGCTTGGTGTCCATCTGGGGCTCGTTCAATTGAAACTGCCATGTCTGAAATTAGAAGTAAGGTTTTGGACTTTGTTGCTCCAGTTGTCCAAAATACTGAACAATATGTTATTCCAAAGGATCCTTTGAAGGCCAACATTGCCAAGAGCGTTCAACTTGGTACTCCAGTTCCATTCTATTTGGTAAGTTGTTTTGATTTGAACTTTTCAATTAATTTTAAATTAGCCAAGTCTTAAGACTGTTTCTTTCGAACCACCTGCAGCTTCTGATGTTGCCACTTTGAGATCTAGAATCGCCTGTACTGGTGAAGAATGTGCTACTGGTTGTACAAATCCAAAGGCCTACGTTTACAATCCATATGCTGAATCTGATTCTGGAAAGTGTAGTGTTGATCCATTCTATCTTTTGACTGTTATTGCTGAAAATGGTATTTATATTGCTGTTGGTGTTTCCATTCTTGTCATTGTTGTTTGTGCCGTCTTTGCTTGTATCCTTGGTTTCTGTATCTTCTGCTGCTGTTGTAGAGATAGAGCCAAGATGAAGATGCAAGGAAAGAGAGAATTGCTGGAAAAGAGAGACCTCAAGACTAACCGTTTGCAAAAGGCTGCTGATAAGATCTTGAACAAGTTGTAAACTGTTGCTTACTCAATAAATAATAATAATTAAAAAATGGCTTTAGTTGAACTTATTCAACCACCATCACAAGAAGAAATACAATCGGTTGAAAATTCATTAGAAAATCAAATTAAATTAGCTATTGAATCTGAAGATTATGCATTGGCCAATTTGTTGTGGAATCAATTTTCTAATGAATTTTCCAATTTAATTAAACAACAAGACAATAATGACTCGGAAAATAGCGTTGAGCAAATTTATAATCTCGGAATGAAATTATTGAAGAGTGTTATTGTACGAGATGCTGATGATGATGAATCTTGTTTTATGAATGATGTAAATTTGGAAAATTATGCACTCTACTTGCAATACTTGTTACCTTTAGCAAGTAAGAGTGAATGTTCTGCATCTTCTTCGGAGGAGAATGAGGATTTTTACAATATTGTGGATTGGTTATTTGCTTTTAATATTTTGAAGGAGGTAACGATAGGTTCTGTTTTGAATTGTTATGGACAGTATTTGATTGGAATTCAAAAACCTTATCAATTGTTTGATATTATTGCAAGAAATAGACATTCGTTTGATTCGAGTATTGTGGATTTAACTTTGTGTGAAGATATTCTGGTCGAGTGTTCAAATCTGACAAGAGATTTAGATCAGTGGCGATTGATTTATAGGTACAGAAAGGAATGGCTTGTGGAATTATTGGAAAAATATGATGGTGAAGATTCGGCTCTTATTGATTTGGCTGCACAAATATGTTTCGAATTGATTAAATCTTATGCAATGAGTGTGGATGATTCGAAACAGTGTTATTTATTTTCTGAGCCACAAGAAACAGGTTCCAATGAAAATAACCAACAAAATATCAGGAAATATGTTGAAAGGATAATGAACTACTCCATCTATAGAACAACCAGAGGAATCCAAATTGCTTTGGAAAATCTATTAGAAGAAATAGGTCAAGAGGAATTAATGATAGGCTTACCTTCTTCCTCGTCAAATAGTGTAAATAAGAGTGAATCGGTTTTTAATACCACAGAAAGACAAAATAGTGTACAATACAATCAGCAACAACCAAGAAATTACAACACAACAGAAGAAGTGGAAGATCACTTGACACTCATTTCCATGATTGAACAGCAGAGAGAAGATATTGAACAATGTAAACAGGAGAATAAGTTTTTAGAATTTCAGTTAAGCCAACAACAAGAACTGGTAATGTCTTTGATGCAAACCATCAAGACTCTGATTAACAAGACAAACGAAAATAATGCCGAAATCAAAGAGCTCAAACAAGCAATCCAAAAATTGACAGACCAGTAAATAATTTAATTGGTTCCATTTGTACTGGCAATCGTAGTTGCAGAAACTGAACTAGACATGTGAGGGGATGGGTCCTCTACTTTCTTTTCAATTATTGGATTCTCGTGATGTTTTTGGTGAAGCAAATAGCAAGCACAAAGGCCTTTTCCTTTAATATCCAATCTTCTTTCTTCAAAATCAAATTTCAAATCATGAACTCTTTCAAAAGTAGATCGTGATATTTGAATACGGCCTGGTTTTGAATTTGATTCCATTCTTGAAGCAACATTAATAGTATCCTGAATCATTCAAATAAAAGTAAAATAAATTGACAACTTACACCCCACAAATCATATGCAAACTTCTTCGTACCAATTACACCAGCAACACAACCACCAGTATTGATTCCACATCTGATATTAATTTGAGTATTTGGATTTTTCATATTGAAATCCTTAATCACATCAAAGGTTGAAATTGCAAATCTAAGAGTTCTCTCAGGGTGATCTGATTGAGTATTTCCAATACCACCAACAGCCTATGATAGAAATATATTGTGTTAGAAATTATGAGAAGAGATTGAAATTACTTACGAAATAGGCATCTCCAATAGTCTTAATCTTTTCCAATTGATATTTATCAGTCAAGGCATCAAATCCATTAACAATTGTATTCAACATGCCTACCAATTCATTTGGATTCAATCCTGATGATAGATTTGTAAATCCAACCCTATGAAAATAATTAAAAATCATTCGAATAAAAATTGATACTTGAATACTTACATATCACTAAAGAAACAAGTAATATCTGCAAACTTTTCAGCAATAAAAGTATCACCCGATTTCAAACGAGCAGCAACAGACTCTGGTAGAATATTTCTCAATAATCTATCAGATTTTGCCTTCTCTTCTGCAATTATAGCATTATGCTTCTTTTCTGATGTGACATCTTTCAAGAAACAAACCAAGTTAGGTGAATTATCAAAAATAACAATAAACATATTAACCATAGCTGGGAATTGTGTTCCATTCTTTCTTACACAATCCACCTCAGCAACTTCTCCATTTTTGTGATTTGACAATTTCATACTATCCTTCATGGTTTGAATAATCTTTTTGATGTGTTCATGATCCTTAGTATCGAATATGTTAATGAAAGGAGTACCAACCACATCAGATTGTTGTTGGAATCCGAAAATATTTTGAGCTGCTGGATTAATCAGCTCTACAAAACCATTTTCATCTGCAATGAAGGCTCCCTCAACAGAAGAATTCAAAACACTTCTCACCTTTGAGTTTTCATCAGTTGGATTCTCGGTCTTACTCTTAAAGACCTTGGAGAATGGACTTGGAATGGCATTGTAAAGAATAAAGTTTCTAACCACTTCATTCGAATCCAAGGCATCAACTGGAACATAATTTAACATATTTCTCAAACACATCAATTGAGCATGATTATTTTGCAATGTATTAAACATTGAATAGAACAAAAAGATGCAAACCAAGCAAAACAATGCACCAAATACACCAGTAATCTCAAAATTAGGTGAAGATGAATTTTCTACAAATAAATCCAAGAATTTGATCAAGTGGTCTGAAAGAATATTTGTCTGAACAAAGATATCCAAAAATCCATTTAAGAAATTTGCAAAATTCTTCACATAATTTTGATTGTATACCTGTTCGTTTAGTTTGGAAACGTCAGTAGTAAAGGTTGAAATCATTCTTTCCAATCCATAACAGTTTTTCCACAAATCCACTAATTCTGTATCATCCATTGTGGAATTATCACTGCAAGAAGATACTCCTTGAATTAATCTGTCAATTGTTGAATATTTACCAACACTAACATCAGATCCACCAGAACCGTAAACTAAAGCTGTCCAATCAGTAAACAATTGAGCCATCAGGGATTTGATATCTGTTAAAAATCCATCAAGCTCTGCTGTGGTGGTCATGTAATCACTGTTGAGATGGGTTTTTGGTAGACCAAAATAAGCAAAATATTCTCCAACTCTGAAACTTGCTCTGTGAATAACTCTGAGAACAGATGTTCCATGTTTGATATTTAGTGAAGTTTGAATGGAATCAGTACAATTAACATTCGATTCAATGAGAATAAGACCACCAACAAGTATCAATGATACTATAACCAAAACTCCATAAAGAAAGAATAAATTATTAGGTCTGGTCAATGAAGTTTTTGGAAGGTGAGTTGTGGCATCATCGTCATTCTTCTCATTCATCTCATGATAGATCTTTCCCACAACATTTTTCGAAAGGTTATTTTTGAAAATGTTCAAAACATGGGGAACTTCTGCCATTTGATATCTTGTCACAATCAAATAGATAATAGAAATGATCAAGTAACCACCAGCAGTAGCACCATAAGAAACATTCAATATAAAGGAAAATTGGTTTGTTTCATCTGAATTGGCAGCAATGGCAGATTCACAAAATTTTACAAAAGAATTTCTGGCAATCAACTTGTTATCCCAAACGTACATAAACTCAAACGATTGGATTGTGTTGTTGTAATCTGCACCTTTCCAATTTTTGAAATATGTAGCTGATTCAGAAATAATATTAATTAATTCGAATACACTAACATTTTTCTGATCTGTTGTGGTAAAATCCAAAGTTCCACTATTTTTTGGAACAGATGGAACGAAAATAGTAATATCTGGTTTGGTAAATATCTCGTAGAGCTCTCTCGTAAATCTATTTTGTTGTGCTTCTTTTGTAATTTGTTTGAAAAAGGAATCATATTCACTGAGTCTTGTCTTGTGTTCTTCTAATGAAATATTTACCATAATTGGGGAAATTGTTATTGCTTCTGGAAATAGTGTCATCACCTGATTAAGATTTTGTTTCATTCTTATTTCTCTCAGCAAACCAATGGTTGATGTTGATGGTTTACACATATAATAAGCACTACTAACATGCTCACCAGCGTTCATACTAATATATACACCAAAAATCAAGTAATAGAGGAAAAATGTAAGTGTGAAAAATCCAAATATTACAAGTGAAGAAAGTATTACTTTGGAATTTCCACCATTTCTAATTGCATTTCTGAATAAGGATTCTTTTTTAGAAACATCACGTTGAGTTTCCACTCCAGAAAATGAATCATCAACTTGATCTGCTTGTGGTTGTATAGGACGTTCTTCAATGGATTTTCTAATGCTGTACGACTCAAACTTTCTCTTACTGTTATAGGGAATGTGCAAACCAGAGGATTTTCTCTTAACTCTTATTGATTCCTCCTCTTCAATTTTGGCAACTTCCTGTACAAGCTCGTGAGCTAGATCCTTATCGAATTTGAAGTTTTCAAGAAAGGTGGCGTATCCTCTGAGCACTTGTCTCTCCCTTGAGTAATTTGTCATTAAATTAGAATAGGTAGTCTCTATATCACTCGAAAGCGAGGTCATTCTTCTATTAACTTGATCCAGCTTGCCCATATTAGGAACTTCATTAATTAACTCCTTCCAAAAATGTTTGTGTAGAGATCTGAGCTCTTCTGTCTTTTTTTCAACCTTCTCAACAATATGTTTGATTTCTACAAAGTTGTGTCCAGAATTGATATCCTTAGTTTGGTCAATTTCCAATTCTCTTGATCTTTCGGCCAAATAGAAACGAATCGCGTATGGAATGTTGGCTCTGTTGGCTCTTCTAATCAACACTTGGGCATAAGAATAGCCATAGTCTTCCCATCTATAGGCAGCAAGCATCGCTCCCAGAATTAACAACTCTGGATCATTGAATGATTTTGAGGCAGCAGCTGACTTGACAAATGAAGTTGCCAAATCTGCAATATCATGACTACCTCTCAATGCAAATCGAAGAAACATTTGTAAAAACCTCAATCTATCCTTCTCCTCAAAGATGTGATAAATCATTACAGCTTCCTTCTCCCTCTCTGAATTCCTTGCCAAAACATCTCTAACATATCTAAATACCAAACGAGTGTAAACTTCCATAGTAATAAAACCAACCAGATAGCACAAAAGAATAATACCCAAGGTCATTCCCATCATTTCAAGACCCAATTCAGAGGAATCTGTTGGATTAACTAATGAGGAAATTAAAACACCAACAGCACAACCCAATCGACCAGTAATAGCTCCAAAATAGAATGAATTTTCAATTCTTCTAAAGTATGGTATCATTTTCCAAAAAATGTAAATGTTCAAAAGAGCAAAAGCAATGTGAACAATAGCTCTTCCATACGCAAATTCAGCTGGTATAAGAAAGTGGAAGAATATACTCGTACTATTCACAACATTAAAGGATAATTTAAAGAAACTGTGTTGCATTGCAAACCATGAAGTATTCATTGGATGGAGATTGGCCACCAACATGGTTGAAATGGCAACAGTAAGCACTGCCAATGGTATCGATGCAATGAAAATAGCATAGAATATGACATTTGGAGTGAGATAGCATGGCTGTGTGGGAAATCTTTTCAAAACCTGATAAGCTACCTCATCAATGATAACATTACTGTTAGAGTCGCAATCTAAAGAGCCAGCCATCAAGTAGGGAACAATCAAACTTGTAAACAGAATGGCATATCCA